TGTATTTCTCACAAGTTCCCAGGAACTTATACATAAGAATCTCCTGGGGATCTTGTTAAACTGTAGATTCTGCTTCAGTATATCTGGGGTGGAAATGCAAATTCTCAGCAGGGAACTTGTTAGAGATGCAAATTCTCAGCAGGGGTGCGAACCAGATGAACCTGGGTTCAAAGCCCTGTTTCCAACTCATCCTCAAGTCTACTCAACTCTACTTCCTCGACATCAGTTAGAACCGTTCCCTTCTTTCCATCTCCCCTGTCATTCACCCGGGTCAAAGCCACAGTCATTTTTCAGAGACCTCTTCTAACTGGTCTTCCTGCTTCCACTCTGGCTCTTCTCCAACCCCCCTTCACACTGTGGCCAGAGCCATCTTTTCAAAGCATAGAACTGACCATGTCACCCTCTGCCCCGGTGAAATCTCCACAGTGGCTTCCCACTGCTTTTATTTACTTATTTTTTGATTTATTGAGATAAAATTTACATAACATAAAATTAACCATTTTAAAGTGAACAACTGAGTGACATTTAATCCATTCAAAATGTTGTGCAACCACTACATTTGTCTAGTTCCAAAACATCTCCATCACTTCAAAATAGAATCCCTTATCCATTAAGCAGTTTCTCCCCATACTCTCCTCTCCCCGAGTCACTGGGAACCACCAGCCTGTGTTCTGTCCGTATGGATTTACCTATTCTGAGTATTTCATGTAAACGGAAGCAGACACTGTGTAGCCTTTTGTGTGTGGTTTCTTTCATTTGGCAAAATGTTTTCAAAGTTCATTCACCTTGTAGAAGGTGTCAGTACTTCATTCCTTTTTATGGCTGAATAATTTTCCATTGCATGGATATACTGCATTTTATTGATCCATTCACCAGTTTATGGACATTTGGGTTGTTTCTACCTTTTGCCTATGAAAATAGCTTTTAAAAAACTTTTTATTCTTGACAGAACAAATACAGAAAAGATAATAAAACAAATATACACCCTTGAAACCAAGTCCTATGAAAATAGGCAGAACAATGCCAGCCATCCCCTCCGTGAGCTCCTCACAAATAGGACAGCCTCCTTCTCCCACCCCTGACTTTTATGGTAAGTATCTCCTTACTTTTCTTTGTCATCCAAGAGTGCATCCCTAAATACTGTAGTAGTTGCTATTATTATTTTGTGGTTGTTGTTCAGAATATATACAGCAAAATGTATGCCAATTCAACATTTCTACATTTACAATTCAGTAACATTGATTACATTCTTCGAATCCCCACTGCATTTAAAATAAGGAGAAATTCCCTTCCATGCCTATAAGGCCTTAACCTTGGTCTGATTCCTCCCAAATCCCTCCAGCCTCATCTCCCACTAGACTGCTTTTCATTCTTCTCAACCCCAAACCAACCTCGTTTCACGCCCCCCACCCCCCTGCCCCGCTTCTCCATCCTCTCTTCCTGACCTGGTCAGTTCCCCATCAGAGCCTCTCCCAGCCTCTCCCCTTCTCCTCCATCGCACCTAGACAGTAGTGGTTTTCCATTTGGTTGTGAGATGATACGCTTAATGATAGTCTAGCTGGGTGCCTGGCACACGGTAGGTGTTCGATTAAAAACGTGCTGACTGCAGCCCAGGAAGAGACAGCCAGCAGACAGAAACACAATCAGGAGAGAGGCTGGATCTGGAGACCTGGACATAGGAGGCTTAATTTGCTCAGAGGGGAGAGCGGAAGCAGTGGGGATAGATGGTGTTGCCTGGAAGAATGGAGAAGTGAAGAGAGAGTGGAGGTCATACCAGGGGCCTCTACCCACCCTATAGTCAATACCGCAGGAGCCAGCCCTGGGCTGAGATGGCTGGAGAGGCTCCGGGGTCCAATCACTCCCACTCGGGGCCACTGGGACTGAGCTAAGTAGAAACAAATGTTCCCTGGCTTTCCCCCAGCCCAGTCCTGGTGGGTGGGCAGCAGCCCTCCCTCCTCAGCCCCTAGCTCTCCCTCCCCCTCTTCACCCTCCTCCTGGGGTTCTTTCTCCCTTTGACTGATGGGGGATTGCGAGGTTGGGGGCATGAGAGGTGTGAAAGACGTGAGGCAGGTGGGCTCAGGCCTGGGGTGGGGGTTCCCTTGGACAAAGTCCCAGAGGGCGCCTCGGAAGGAACTCCGCCTGCAAGGCAGGAGTCAGACTGCCTAAAGCTGGGAACCAGGCATTCGAGCTCCCGGCCTCAGCTGGAAAGGCACATTCTCATGAGTTCACAACTTCAGGTGGGCTGGAGAAAAGCTGGAATAGAGCTGGCTGAGATACTGAGGGGAGAAGAAAGTTCTCTATCTCTCTCTCTGCCTCTCTGTCTCTCTCTCCCTTTCCCTCCATCTCTCTGGAGGGTTGGCCTTTCCTCTCTCTGTTCTCCAGGGATCCAGAGACCCAGGGCCCTTAGGAATTCTCAAGCCGTGTCTCTACCCTAAAGGGATCGCAGTTAGGTCCCATTGCTGGAGAGGGAGGGAGGGAAACGAGGAGGGAGGCAGAGAGGAAGGTTACTGGGAGGGAAAGGGTCACAGGCCCAAATTCCTGGGCTCCTGCAGCTTCAGTCATTCTGAGAAACAAAGAAACAGAGAAAGTGATTTAGAGACAGACACAAATAGAGACCAAATTATGGAGATGGGAGAGACGGGAAAAGACGCAAAAGACAGCGAGAGAGAATCCGAAGCACACGCAGGGCTCTGCTCTGCCTGCAGCGATTCTGATGTTATCTACCTCCAGCTGCCTCTCCCCGCTCCACAGTCCCCACCTCTGCCCCTCCTTCCTCTCCAACCCCATAGCCAGACACCCATGTCTCCGTTTCTCTGCCTCTCTTTTGCACCAGGGCCTATAAGTGGAGTTAACAGGTTCTGTGGACCTCAGGCAGAGCGATAGAGGAAAAGGCGGAGTGCCTCTGATTAAATGGACACCTCCCTGTTTCTGCTGTCCATTCTAAGCTGCTATGTTCCCATTCCAATCACTCATGAATGTTCCTCCACACGCATGTCTGTGCAGAGGTGGCACATGTGCACACGCGTGCGTGTGTGTGTGTGTGTGAGAGAGAGAGAGAGAGAGAGAGAGAGAGAGAGAGAGCTCTCCAGGGAGGCAGGCATGTATCTCGGCCTGAGCCAGCCCCTATAACTACGGGTGAAATTTATCCAGCATTATCTGGGGGAGGCGAAGGTGCCCTGTGGTTTCTGAGGGGTTATCTGAAAGCTTCTGAGAGGTCACAGCCTTGAAAACCCTATGGAGCAGTTCTACTCCGCACATATGGGGTTGTCATAACTCAGAATTTGACTTGATAGCAACTAACAACAACGACATCTGAAAGCCTACGACCAGCTTTGTGTGTGTGTGTGTGAGAGAGAGAGTGTGTGTGTGCGTGTATCTTGGTCTGTCTTTGTGTGCCTCTGTGTATATCTCCTGGTTCCCCATCTCTGCTCTGTGGGAAGTCTTCTAAGGCGATAGTGGTGGATTGAAACCTCAGGAACATCTAAACTCATCTCTCTGAAAGTTTGGGGCCATAAGAGTGGAAGTCATTGCTCTCGCGCTACCCCAAGTGCCAGGCAACCCTCAGATGGGGATGCAGAGAGGGCGAAAGGGAGTGGGCAGAGGCAAGGCTTGCCTGGGAATTGAGGCTCTGGGAATTTGGACTTCAGGACTTCTGTCCATCACAGACACCAGCCTGTCCTACCCAACACTTGTGCGGGCACTCCTGGGCCAACTGACTCTGGAATGGAACTCTGGGGACAAGGGCTTGAGGAGTCCAGGGATAGCAGAAGATTCCGTAAGCTCTGGCCAGAGCAAGTGCTGCAGAAGGGGTGGGGCGGGCTGTTCGCGTTTGTAGGAAAGGGGGGGGGGGGGGGCAGAAAGGCCGCCTGCGGGGGAGAAGGCTTCTTGGCAAACGCCCCAGTTTCCTGAGCTGATCCCTGCTCTCTGCCACTGCTCCCAATTCTGTTGTTTCAATAACATCATTTTTATCCACCCCATAGAGAGGCTGTGTCTGAGCAGGGGGAGGCAAGGGGCAGGGCTAGGCCATGGTAGGGGGGTGGGTAATGGAGAGAGGCTGGGGTCTGGAGGCAGCAAGGACTAGATTTGGGGCGCTCCCTCCTCAGGCAGAGGCAGGGCGGTCCCAGAGCCCAGGTCCCCTGATGACAAAGACAAATACATTAAAATTCTTGTCTCAGAGAAGAATGCAGGATAGGGAGAGCATTTCATAATCTGCAATAACAGTAGCAGGGTGGGGGCAGGGGATTTGGAACCCAAGCAGTGGCTCCCTGGGGGCTAGTCATTGGCCACCTGCAGCCTCCAGGAACCCCCAGAGCCCTCCGGCTGCCTGTTGGGTGCCATCTGGTCTGAGTCTGTGCCCAATCTGGGTGTGTCTAACAGTGTGCAAGTGTCCAGATTGGCACTGCCCTGCAGAAACGACTGAGTACAAAGATGATCGGTGCTGGGGGCTGTGCGAGGCATGTGGGTGCTGTTAAAGGCTAAAATGGGGGCAGCACTTGGGCCACCCCCCCTCTTTATCTCCTTCAGTCCGTCCCCCTCTCTGGGTGCCCCAGCATCCCCCCCACCCTGAGAACTCTCTCTACCTAGCACATCAGGTTAGACACCAAGGCCCTGGGGTGTGCTCCCAGCAAATCCAGGGGCTTCCTGATGTGCCTAGACCAACATTTCTCCGTTTCTTCTAGCGTTGTCATCCTTCCTGTCCCACATCTGCCTTCTCCCTGGGACAGGCATGTGTGGCCTTTTGTCACTCAGCCTCATCTTGATCCACTTGCCCCCACTTTCTGGGGGACTCAGGATCCTACCTTCTCTCTGTTACCACAAGTGTTAGTCTCTCTTGCAGTGACCTCACTACCTGAGCTCAGGTTCTCTCCTCTCCCTCCTGCCCCCCAAACCGCCAGCCAGGAGCTTTCCTCCCGCACCTGAAGTGTCTGCCACACAGGCTTGAGGTCCTCGATCTGTCCTCCACACCCCACGATACCCTCAAAGGCTGGTGGCCACACTAGATGGTGGTGATGGGGGACTGGCCCCTGCTGCTGAACACCCGCACCACCTGTCCTTCGGCACCACTGGGCACGTCGGGGGAGGGGGCTCTATCCTGGCTACAGGAGCGGGGGCTAGAGGAGCAGGGGCTGCCGCCCGCTGCCAGCTCGCTCCGTGATGAATGGAGCTGTCCCTCCTCCCCACGGGGCCTTTGATCTTCCCCCCGTGGGGAGGGGGCCAGGGGCATCAAAGACATTTTTGTGGCATTAGAGAATCAGATAAACGCCATCTCACCTGCAGCTGGCTCTCCCACCCCCTCTGCCCCGGCTAAGTTGGGAAGGAACGTAAGGCAGGGACCGCGGACACGCAAGACCCGGCAGAGTGGGCGTTCCTGAAGGCGGGGTTGCAGCGACTCTGACCCCTTGGTCTCTGGGAAGCACACCCCCGCCCTCTACTCGCTCACGCGCGCCGGCGCAAGCAATCGAGAGGTTTGTCCTGCTGTCCAATCTCCCCGCAGCGAACGCAGGCTAAAAAGGCTGGACGGCTGGGGGGGGGCCAGAGCGGGGGCCTAGGGCGCCTCTTTGGCTCAGAAGAAGCTGAGGAAAGGGCGTCCGGCGGGGCAGAGCCGGGGAGGAAGTGACCCCTGCAGGACCCCGCCGACCAGCCTGCGAGTTCGACACCCCTCTCAGCAGCACCCTGTGCCCGAGGCCGAGTTCCTCCCAGGCCGCTGCTCCAGCATCTGCCTCCGCAACCCCCCCCGCCCCCCACCAAACTCCCTCATTCCTGGGAAGTTTTCTCTCTTTACAGTCAACAAACCTGTCAAACGTCTCCCTCCCAGCCCGTCCCCCAGCCCTCAGCGCCTCTTCCTTCTCCCCCTTGCCCCTCTCCACACTTCTTCCCAGCCCCTCCTGGC